ATACACATACATATATACACACATACACACACGTATATATGTGTATATATATGCTATTCAATACATTTTGTTATCCTTTTCTGTGTGTAGCATGAAGGGACACCAAACTGCAAAAAAATTGTATTGATATTTATAATTTGACACAAAGGAGCAGAGAGAGTGGTTGAAGGTATTGAATTTAGGATAGGATTGCACAGGTTTATCCTAAAACAGCTTAAATCTGTCCTCAACATTTTTATGAATAATGCATGTGCTAAATGGGAGAGGTGCTAAACCATGAAAAACAAATATGATTTTCTAAAGAGACCATATTATAAAGAAAGTATAATGAAATGATGGTATGTTTAAGTTTACTGTCCAGTACCTTGACAGCTTGCTCATTCAGATTGTATGAGTTTTAGTACTGTGTGAGTGGCAAGAAAGCAGTGGTTAAACAATATATGTTATATGTGAGAGTATGAATTTCATGGTGTGATCACAGTCATTTCAATAGCATTAATGACTGTACACATTTGCAGTGTCACCCACAGTACATCGAAATAAGAGAAAAAAACTCCCTTTTATCTATCTGCACCCATGTTAGAAGGGTCAAGTCATCCACAGGTAACTGAAGTTAAAACAGGTAGCCACAGAGAATCTGTTCATTGCAAACAGTAAATAGCACATCAGCCGGCCTCCTCTAGTAATATTAATGTTGCTTTGATATGGGTTTATACCTTACTTAACAGACACAAGCACAGGAGCTGCACCACCATACTGACCTCGTCTATTAGCACCAGAGGGTTCTCTGTCTTGGTTTTCTTCAGGCACTGGATAATCTTCCCTGGCATAGCTCCAACATATGTCCTCCTGAACACACAGAAAATTTAGAATATCATTTCCCCAAATGTGTACATGTATTTACCTAATACATACATAAACTAAATTACTGTTCTGATAATGGAATAATAACGTCTGCCTTTCTGCCTTCTGTGTCCACTCCTGTAAGTTTGTTTAAAAATTTTTTTTTAAATAAGGTTATTTCAAATACAATAATTAAATTACTATAATAATTCATATTTTTATTCTTTATTCTAGGGATGGTGAAGGATCTCTAAAAGTTGGTATTTTGTTGTAAAAATGTAGTAGTAGTTAATAAATAAGTATAGCCTTTACTGTTTTGTATTATCATATCCATATCCTCCACAACAAACAGAATTATCAGTTATCTGCCCTGAAATTCCATATCAGTACATCTCTCGTTGTTGTTACATTTCCTTTTCCAGGTTTCACCCACCAAACTGTCTGAACCTCTTCTCACCCTGCCCCTGCTTAATACACAGCACTCTGTACATTGATACTGACAAAGCTATCAAGAAATTCCTTTAAGTAATAATGGCAGTATAGACTTCCAGACCTGTGTCCCTTAATCTCAGCCACATCGGTCATGCCTCCCACGCTGAACCTGAAGTATTGTCTATTCAGAGCTCTGGCTATCGAGCGGGCGATGGAGGTCTTTCCCACACCTGGAGGACCGTAGAAACACAGGATCTTTCCCTGGGTGGAGCCACGCAGCTGGCTCACTGCTATGAATTCCTGCACAAAGACAGAGAGGAAGTCAGGTTAATTTCAACTGGAAAAAAAACTTGTGGATAGATATATGGGAACCATTTAAGTAAAATATTTTTTTTCTGGATATTTGAAATGGTGTGTTGCATTTGCTGACCAATATGCGTTTCTTAACATCATCCATTCCGTAATGATCTTCTTCCAGAACCTCTTTGGCTCTGTCCAATTTTAAGTTTTCTTCACTGTTGGTACCCCAAGGCATGCTGGTCAGCCACTCCAGGTAGTTCCGGGTTACGCTGAAACACACAGTTGTTCTTTTTTTAATGTTTGTTGAAGTGTGAAGTGAAGACAGAACATAAATGTTTTCAGTGTCTTCAGTGCATACAAAGGACAGAGCTTAGCTAAAGAGAGATTACCATTAAAGCTTCTCTGCAGAGTTTTCCAAAGTTGTGCTTACATTCAGTGTTTCCCACCAGAACACACTGGGCCTCATTCACTAATATGTGTGTAGAAATGTTTTTAGTTTGCGCACAAATTAAGTGGAATATGCAACATCACAGTCATCAAACGTGTGCACCAGTCACTTTTGTTCTTTGTGTTTGCAATTAGTATACTGCCACTGCCCCCATTTCTCTATACAAGGAAATACAATTGCCAAGAGAAGTATCATGGAGAAAGTGGTGCAGGTATTGCAAGAGAGAAGCATGGCCCCTGAAGCAAAAAAGCATAAGCAAAGCAAAGTCCACGATTCTTAATTGCAGGCCCCATGATATGCACCATTGAAACATTTTGAAATTTTCAACTTTCTGCACCAGTGGAAGTAAGTGAGCTAAATATAGTAGCAGAAAGGAAAAGGTCACTCATTTTCCAGAGATCATGAATATCTAAACTACCTTTCCTGCCTCTGTTCAGTGACTGTGTCCCTTAAGCCAAACAAGTGACATCATAATTCAAAGGCCCTGCCTGGATAGTGGGAAAAAAAATACACAAGACCAACTTGAATTCTGAGGAGTGGTTGTCCAGCAGTCCCAGTTTGTTGAGTTCTTCATTGATTACATCCATTATGTGCTGAGGGACAGTCCGTTCTTTGAGTCTCTCTCTAAACTTCTCCTCGATAGCTTCTTTATCTTCTTTTTCCAGACCCAGCTCCTGAAAACCCACAGAACCCACAGAACCCACACACGCACACACGCACACACACACACACACAGTACTGAATAAGAATTATAAAATGGATTTAAGATCGATTTGATCTTAAGTATGACTTGCAAAGGAAACTGCGTACAAGTAGTTATTTATAAAACCTTACTTTGAGGTAAGAAAAGTCTATACCTATACATTAAGTGAGTGATCTTTCTATTCACTTAATGAACAGTGTGATAGGAATCATTGTTATCGTGAAAAGTGTAGGAACAAGATTATGGTTATTATTTCCTTTTTAATAAAAAGTGCCATTTCCTGCAATATAGAGCCTTTAATCATGAGCAATAAAGCTGCTCTTTTATTATAAAGCTCTGTTTATTGCAGTATTATGTTATGTTCTGAGGAGGAAAGTTTTACAGTTACTTACTAACCAAATGAGAGTTGGCAGCCGGCTTGCCACCCCTTGTTTCATTTGCTCGGGGTCCGCTTACTGACTCAGACCTGCTCTGTGTATGTAAGTTCACCAGGATGCCGGCATGCTTTATTAAACTGACACCACCACAGCAAACCTGAACT